TGGAAAGTGAATTGGGCTAGCAGAATGAGAAGACAGTTGGTAACAGTTGAGCCAGGAAAATCTGAGCTGGACAAATAGCATTGAAGTTATAGTTTGGAGCTGCTAGTAATGAGGAAATTTGGAAAGGGGATTGTTCAAGCACACTGTTGGGAAACTGAGGGAGGAACGGTTGGAAGAAAGCTTTGAAGGGGCTGGGCCAGAAACTGGAAGACGACTGGCAGCAAGTTAAGAGAACTGATTACTGTTCATAACTAAAGGAAACATTAAAAGAAACTTTAAAAGAAAACAACCACACATTTTATAATATAGTCTAACCAAAGGTGGCACTTTTACTTACTATGTCCCCAGAAGTCTCAGGCATCTGAACACTGTTCCCTAGTTAGTGGCGCTGTTTATGGAGTGGGTACATATGTCATTGCTGGAGGCATAGATAGATCACTGAAAGTTCAAAGCCTCACCCTACTTTCAATGCCCTAACTCTGCTTCACAATTGAGGTAATAAACATGATTTTTAAGCTTCCTGCTATAGCAGCCATTCTTCCCTTCCATGATGGAAACTTACCCCTCTGGAACTGTGAGCCAAAATAAAATCTTGGTCATGGTACCTTATCACAAATAATGTGAAAGTAAAATTGCTACCTGTTGTCATTCCCAGGTAATCATAACTAAGTAATGTATGCAACATCAGAGAGATGACTGTATAATGCTATAATGTTCTCTACCTTTGACACTGATGCCATAAGAATAGATTTCTCTGCTGGGCAGTAGGGACGCACACCTTTAATCCCAACACTTGGGAGGCAGAGGCAGGCAGATTTCTGAGTTCGAGGCCAGCATGGTCTACAGAGTGAGTGCCAGGACTATACAGAGAAATCCTGTCTTGAAAAACCAAAAGAAAAAAAAAAGAATAGACTTCTCTTTCAGATTTACTTCCTCTTCAGAATCGATGTTCTCATTCAGGGTTTGGCAGTGTAAGTGTTCCTGCTTGGATGAAAGGATATCCTGGGACCCAGAAACCTAGCAAACACACACACTAGGGGAAAAGGTGTCCATCCCAATGTAGGGACATCCTGAGACACAGGAGTCCAGGAACTACACAGCTCTGAGGTGGGACAGCGTCTCTAGAGAAGGGCATCCTGAGACATGGGAGCCCAGGAACCACACAGCTCTGAGAGCACGAATCTGTAGGTAAGGCTTTGCAGCTCCCAGGGGGAAGCTTTCACAGCTAATATGAAGTATTCATTAGCCTCTGTCCCCCTCCACTTCTTTGCTTCTTCCCTTCTCTTCATTGCTACTTAGCTTCTTGTGAAGAGAGAGTCACAGTTGTGTCCAGAGTGTGAAAGAACAAATGCAGGGGTAGCTGCCTCTGCTCCCTGGAGCAGACAGCAGGGAACTTAACAAAGGGCAAGACTTATACAAGATTTATTAGGGGGCAGAGCTTTTCAGTGGAGAGGTTTCCACACTGAGGAATGGTGAAATTTCAAGTCCTTAGCTTGGGAGCTCAGGGATCAGTGACTTTTCCTGTTAAAGGATTGGTGGAATTTCCTGCTCAGGCATTGGGATGGGAAGCCCTTTTTGTCCATAGGTAGCTTTGGCTGAGGCACCTCTAATGCTGAGCTGTGTCAGGAGGCTAGAAAAATGTCACAACAATGGACAGCACCTCATGACAGCCTATAGACTGAGGTGGGAAAAGAAGGACCCACACCCAGGACAGCTCTCCTGTGGTGGCATCTCATGACAATAGCTGGCTGAGGATGTCACCACCATGGACAGCTCCTGTGGCAGCTACAAGCTGGGGCAGGAAAGGGTTGCTAGTGTTTGGCAGGCTCTGCCAGTCTGACAGCCCTGCTGTAGTATCTTATGGTGGATACAGGCTGGGACAGAAAGGAGGAGCAGGCAGCCACTGTGACAGCTCACCACTCAGGGACTATAGGCAGGATGTAATATTAGTGGATTGTCTAAATAGTCCTTCCACCTCAGGTCTTTATCTTCAGTAATAAAGAACCTTTGCTCTGTGGGAAAACATATACAGCTGCCATTATAGAGTCACACTTGCAGACCACCAGTGTGAGTCTTTTGGAAACCAGAGCAATAGGGTGTGTGGTGCTTTGAATGAGAATGGCACTCTTTAGACTTCTGTCTTTGAGTACTTGGTCATAACAGAGTAGCACTATTTGGAAGAAATATAAGGGTTAAGAGGTATGGCATGGTGGGAGGAAATGTGGCAATGTCACTAAGGGTGGGATTTGAGGTTTCAAAGGCCCATGTCATACCCAGTTTCTCTCTCTGTCTGCTGCCCATGGGTATATAGGCATGTATAACTCTCAACTACGTATCCAACATCATGAATAGCTGTATGCTACCATGTTCCCTGACTTGATTATAATGGCCTAAACCTCTAGAACTATAAGTAAGATCCCATGTAATTCTTTCTTTTATAGAAGTTGCCATGAGTCCTTCTGGTCTGTGCCTGAGCGCTGAGCAGATCTTGAGCTTCAGCTCTGCACCTAGTTCCACAAAACCCAGAGGAGGCAAGGATCTTAGGTAAGGAAGCAGAAACACCCGCCCCAAACAGGGAGTAACTGGGACCCATGGGGGCTCAGGAACTCACTCCTGGCCAGGGGCACTGGTTCATTCCAGTCTGCACCTGAGCACTGAGCCTATCTTCAGCTTCAGTGTTGCACCTAAGCTCACAAAGCCCAGACGGGGCAGGACTCCTAGGAACTCCAACATGCTCAGGAACATAGGATCATAGAATCACCAGATCTCAGGAGGTTAGTCACACCAGGATTTCTGGATCCCAGAGGCAGCCTGACTCCCAGGAGCTCTTACACCCAGGATCTCAGGATCACAAAATCATAGAGACAGCTGGACTCTGAGGAGTTCTGACACAACCAAGATAACAGGAAAGACAGGCACCACTCTGAGACAGTGAGTACAGGTAGCACTAAAGAGAGCCAGATGGTGAAGGGCAAGTGCAACAACATAAGCATCAGCAACCAAGGGTACTTGGCATCATCAGAACCTAGTTCTCCCACCATAGCAAATCTCAAATACCACATCACACTGGAAAAGGAGGATTCGGACTTAAAATCACCTCTCATGAAGATGATAAAGGACTTTAAAAGGGATATAAATAACACTCCAAAGAAATTGAAAACACAGGTAAACAGGTAGGAATTGAACAAAACCATCCAGGACATAAAAATGGAAGTAGAAACAATAAAGAAATCACAAAGGGAGACTACCCTGGAGATTGAAAAACCTAGGGAAGAAATTAGGAGTCATAGATCCCAGCATTACCATTAGAATACAAGAGATAGACGAGAGAATCTAAGGTGCAGAACATACCATAGAAAATATTGACACAACTGTCAAAGAAAATGTAAAGTGCAAAAAGTTCCTAACCCAAAACATCCAGGAAATCTAGGACACAATGAGAGAAGACCAAACTTAAGGATAATAGGTATAGAAGACAGTGAAGATTCCTAACTTAAAGGGCCAATAAATATCTTCAACAAAATTATAGAAGAAAATTTCACTAACAAAGAAAGAGATGCCCATAAATATACAAGAAGCCTACAGAATTCCAAATAAACTAGACTAGAAAAGAAATACCTCCCATCACATAATAATCAAAATACCAAATGAACAAAACAAAGAAAATTAAAAGCAGTAAGGAAAAAAGGCCAAGTAACATATAAAGGCAGACCTATCAGAGTTACAACAGATTTCTCACCAGAAACTCTAAAAGCCTGAAGATCCTGGACAGATGTAATATAGACCCTAAGAGAATACAAATGCCAGCCCAGGCTACTATACCCAGCAAAACACTCAATTACCATAAATGGAAAAACCAAGATATTCCATAACAAAACCAAATTTACGCAATATCTTTCCACAAACCTAGCACTACAAAGGTTAATAGAGGGAAAACTCCAATACAAGGAAGGAAATTATACCCTAGAAAGAGCAAGAAAGTAATCTTCTTCCAACAAATCCAAAATAAGATACCACACAAACACCAGCTAATAACAAAAATAACAGGAAGCAACAATCTCCTTTCCCTAATATCTCTTAACATCAATGGACTCAATTCCCCAATAAAAAGACATAGACTAATGGTCTGGATACATAAACAGGACCCAGCATTTTGCTGCATACAGGAAGCACACCTCAGTGACAAAGACAGACACTACCTTGTCGGGGGCCAGGATAATATACCCTGGAGCTAAAAACACTTGGCTTGGGCAGCCTGCCCTCTGCCACCGTGAGAACAACAGTCACTTCCTTGTTCTCAGCATGCTTGCACAGAGCTTGCGGCTTACCACGGAGAGTTCAGCTTGTCCCCTTACCCAACCCCTTACTTAAGCCCCTTACCTAAATGTTCCCTTACCCAATTTTAGTTTTCCATTCCCCACCCAGCCACAAGTTCCCTAACCCAGTTCCCTAAACCCTTGCCACATGTCCCAAGAGGCCACCCCCTCCTCCTCCTCCCTACAGTATATCTTGTAGCAGCTTCCGCAATAAAGTGAGACCTTGACAAGATTCAGCTGGCTCTGTGCCTTCTTTCTCCTTGCTTGGTCTCGCGCCTCTTTCTCCCCTGTTTCTTCCCATTAGGCTCGCCTTCTCCGAGGGACCCTGCAACAAAAGCTGCCCCGCGGGACGGGGCAAGTGGCGCCCGAACAGGGACCCCTCGTGGGTTGAAGACGAGTCGAACGAGGTCCCGATCGTAGCCGGCCGGCTTTGAGTGTCTGAGTGCTCCGAAGACTGTGAACTCGCCAGTCCAACGAGCGGTGAGTCACCTCGTTCAATGTTTTTCAAGAACAGGGCATAAAATATATGGATTTTTATTTGTGGATAGGAGTAGGTCTTGTTTTAGAGTTTATTTTTGTTCTCCTGCTGTGTTTTTGTTGCAATTGGCACATACGCGGTAGAGAGTGCACAAGTCTACCTTGTGCCCCTGAAGACTGCTGATCGGTGGCCAACGAGCAGTAGTCATGGGACAGAAACTTTCTAAGGAAGCAGTTTTTATTCAAGACCTAAAAAATAGTCTTAGGGAAAGAGGTATAAGAGTTAAAAAGAAAGATCTTTTAAAATTTTTTCTGTATATTGATGGGGCATGTCCCTGGTTTATAATTGATGGTCCTACCATCCATCCAAAAAAGTGGCAAAAAGTGGGCCGAGAACTTAATGATAAATTGATTAGAGAAGGACCTGATAGTGTCCCAGCCACTGTCTTTTCCTATTGGGGACTTATTAGAGATATTCTAGAGGCAGATGATGATGATCCTCAAAAAAGGCGCCTCCTTTCTGTCGCCGAGTTTTGTCTCCGGCCGCTTTCACCACCGGCCCCCAAGGCCCCCTCCAGAGCCTTGCCAGTTGCTATTGATATGCCTTCAGAAGCTACTTCAGAGGCTACTCCTTTAAAATATTTGCCTCAACAAATTTATCCATCCCTTATTGCCCTCAGAGATGAGCCTCTGGACCCAGGGGATGCTGCCACCCTGGAGGAAGAGGCTGCCAGATATCATGACCAAGATTGGTCCTCACCCCCTCCTTACCCTTTGCCACCAACCCTTACAGGCCCAGCTTTTCTTCCTTCTTTACGAGCGCCCCTGTGTAAAGCTAAGGCTGACCTTACAGCTAAGGTTGGAGAGCTAACAGAAGTCCTCAACCTACAAAAGGTCTTGATCTTTCTAAACAGTTTGACAGTCTGCAGATCTCCCTTAAAAATACCTTTTTTCCCCAGACCTCAGATAGTAAAACAACAAAAAGCCGCCAGAGGCCCCCCAATAAATCAGGGCCGAAAGTGTTTCCTGTTCTCACTCGAGCTCGTGCAGCAGCACTTGAGCAGAGGCCAGAGCCCTCAGCCCCTGATACTACTGAAGCCCCTTCCGACCTTGACTATGATCCAGACACTGATAATCAGCCATCTAGTGACAGTGAGGGTGAGGGAGCTGACCAAAGAGATTATAAAACTCTTCAGCCTGCATTTAAGCCACTTAAATTTAAACATATTAAAGATCTCCATAATGCCATTAAAAATTATGGTGCAAATGCTCCCTTTACACTGTCTCTCCTTGAGAGCTTGTCAGGCAATGGATATCTTTTACCAGGAGAATGGATTAAAGTAATAAAAACAGTTGTTGACCGGCCTCAGTTTCTAATTTGGAAGGCAGAGTTTTTAGATCGAGCACAAAATATTGCCAGCCGCAACCAGAGAAATCCCTTAGCCCCCACCGCTTCCTGGTCAGCTGATAAGATCTGCGGACAGGGCAAGTATTCTTCTGAAGAAAAACAAAAGGGCTTGTCGCCTGGCATCTTAGCTCAGACTGCCGAGGCCGCTTTAGGTGCTTGGAGAGTAATGCCTCCTAAAGGATCTGCTTTCTCTCCGCTCAGTAAAATCACACAAGGTCACCAAGAACCCTTCGCACAGTTTGTCGCAAGGATTCAAGAAACTGTAGAGAGAATGTTCGGGCCTGAAGAGACAGAGGGAAAGATGGTTAAACAACTTATATTAGAAAATGCAAACCCCGCCTGTCGTGTTGCCTTACGTGGCAAAGATAACCTGGAAGTTAGCCAAATGATTCGTCTTTGTGCAGATATAGATCCCTTTGGACATCAAGTGGGACAGGCCATCACTATGGCCATGGGGGCAATGATGGATAAGGCAGCTACTATGGCTATAGGAGCAGTGATGAATAAGACATCTGATAAATCCTGCTTCCGCTGTGGCCAAGCGGGCCATTTCGCCCGCCAATGCCCTACTAATGTTGCTGCCCCCCTTGGCCCAGAGACAAATAAACAACACTCTATGCCCTTAGGGCTCTGCCCTTGGTGTAAACGTGGCCGGCACTGGGCTAAACATTGCCGTTCTAAAACAGATGTTTCAGGAAACCTTCTCCCACCAGTTTCGGGAAACGGAGGGCGGGGCCAGCCCCGGGCCCCTCAGCCAGTCTCCTTCCTGCCAGCCTTGGGGAACAGCCAGGCAGGGCCACAACAAACCCTTCAACAACAGCTCCCAGATCAGCCTCAACCCTCCATAGGGCTACCCCAGGGAGCGCAGGATTGGACCTCAATGCCTCCTCCGATACAATATTAGAGGCTGGGGGAGGAGTCCAGATAATTCCTACTGGTGTTTTTGGCCCCCCCACCCCAAACTTATTTTTTGATTTTAGGCAGAGCGTCAGCCACCCTCCAAGGAGTTACTATTTTTCCTTCAATTATTGATAATGATTATTCCGGAGAGATTAAAGTGCTGGCCTCCAGCTCCAGAGGACCCCTCCACATTCGCCAAGGACAGCGTATTGCACAAGCTCTTCCCCTTCCACTAAATACATTGGCACCCTCTTTGGGGCAGCCCCGGGGTGCCTCCACCCCAGGGTCTTCCGATGCCTATTGGGTTCAACAAGTTTCACAAGAACGCCCACAACTGAAACTTAAACTTAATGGCAAAACCTTTGAGGGCATCCTTGATTCAGGGGCAGATTCCACAGTAATTTCACAGGCCCATTGGCCTGCTTCTTGGCCCTGTCAACCCTCCTTAACTCACCTCCAAGGCATTGGTCAGTCTATTAACACCCTTCAAAGCTCACAGCTGTTAACTTGGGAAGACCCTGAAGGAAATACTGGACATGTTAGACCTTTTATTGTTCCAGGCCTCCCCATTAACCTATGGGGCCGAGATATTTTAAGCCAAATGGGAGTCTTTATGTTTAGCCCCTCTGTGACTGTTACCCATCAGATGCTAGATCAGGGATTTATTCCTGGCCAGGGCCTGGGTAAAAACAACCAGGGGACTCCCACTCCCCTTGAGGTCCGGCCAAAACATTCACGTTCAGGATTAGGTTATAATTCAAATTTTTCTTGAGGGCCATTGCTCCTCCTGCACGTCAGGCAGATAAAATCACCTGGAAATCAGATTCCCCTGTCTGGCTCGATCAGTGGCCCCTTCCTCAACATAAGCTTTCAGCGGCCATGCAGTTGGTGCAGGAACAGTTAGATGCTGGCCACATTGAACCTTCCACCTCTCCTTGGAATACCCCTATATTTGTAATTAAGAAGAAAGGGGGAAAGTGGAGATTACTCCAGGACCTCAGAGAAGTTAATAAGACCATGGTTCCGATGGGAGCACTTCAGCCTGGCCTCCCCTCCCCTGTGGCTATACCCAAAGGATATTATAAAATGGTTATTGATTTGAAAGATTGCTTTTTTTGTATTCCTTTACATCCAGAAGATAGTAAGCATTTTGCTTTTAGCCTTCCCATTGTTAATTGTATTGGCCCATCTCCACGGTTTCAGTGGAGAGTTTTGCCCCAGGGCATGGCTAATAGTCCTACCCTATGTCAAAAATTTGTGGCACAGGCCATTGATCCCTTCCGTCTCCAATATCCTGATTTGTATATCATTCATTATATGGATGATATTCTTTTGGCTGGTCCTGATGAGATCGCTTTATTTGAGACAGGCCAACAGCTGGTTATTGCCCTCCAAGATCTTGGGCTGCAGATAGCCCCCGAAAAGGTTCAGCTTCAGCCCCCCCATTTATTTTTAGGCTTTGAGCTTTATCCTTCTAAGATTTTTTCCCAAAAGACTGAGCTCAGAAAAGACTCCCTGCGCACACTTAATGATTTTCAGTGCCTTTTGGGAGATATAAATTGGCTACGCCTATATTTGAAGCTGACCACTGGCGAACTTAAACCCCTTTTTGATATCCTTCAGGGAGATTCAGACCCTTCTTCCCCCCGCACATTGACCCTTGAGGCTGCCTTTGCCCTTACACGTGTAGAGAAGGCTATTCAACAACAGACTGTTACTTATTATTCTCCTGCCTCCCCTTTGTGGTTGTTGATCCTCCCCACTGTGTTTGCCCCCACAGGACTCTTATGGCAATCCAAGCCTTTATATTGGCTCCATCTACCTGCCACCCCCGCTAAGGTTTTGCCTACCTATCCATCCCTGGTGGCACAAATAATAAAGCTGGGAAGAGAGACTTCCCTCAAACTTTTTGGTAAAGACCCTGACATTGTCAGCCTCCCTTACAATGCTGCTCAGGTCAAATGGCTCTTACAGACTTCTGATGATTGGGCTGTTAATTGTGTTTCATTCCAGGGAAAAATAGACAACCATTTTCCTTCTGATAGGCTCATACAGTTCCTTCAACATCAAGCAGTCGTTTTTCCCAAAATTACCAAAAATTCTCCTATTCCCCAAGCCTCCCTAGTCTTTACAGATAGATCTTCCTCCGGGGTTGCAGCCTTTCGGCTTGATGGACAGGTCTCCAGGGTCCAAACAAAATTTTCCTCAGCACAGTTGGTAGAGCTGGTTGCAGTTATTCAAGTCTTTAAGACTCTTACAGATTGTGCTTTTAATTTGTTTACCGATAGTGCATATGTGGCTCAGTCAGTGCCTTTGTTAGAAACTGTTCCTTTTATTAAGCCATCCACCAATGCCTCCCCACTTTTTGCTGAGCTTGTAAATGCCTCGGCTGCCACCTTGATGGCCAATAATGATACCAGTTTTCAACCTTGCTGGATATGTTTTTCTCCTAAACCCCCTTTTCTATGAAGGGGTGGCTGTTTTTGGAAATTTAGTTGCTACTAATAACTCAACAAAAGTTCTCAATTACTATAGTGGTGAGGCTAAACTTACTCTGAGCCAAACATGGGGCTTGGGCACCTGTTTCTTGGGGCCATAAATGCTGCCCCCTCGAGAGTTACAACCTATCTGTAATGAGACTTTTAAAGTTAATTCTACCTTTTTGTATCTTATTGCTCCTGTTGGATTTTATTTAACCTGTGCTGGAGGGCTCACTTCTTTTATCTATACTCCATGGTTTTTAGATTCTAGAGATTATTGCATTCTTGTTAAACTTTTTCCCAAGATGATTTTTCATCATGAAGAAGAGTTCCTCTTTTCTCCTTCTATTGAGAACCATTTAGTCCGGTCCAAAAGAGAACCAATCTCTGCCATCACCTTGGCCGTAGTTCTAGGACTGGGGGCGGCTGGAACAGGCACAGACATTGCCTCTCTTATAACCTCCCACCAAAAGTACAACCAATTGTCCCTGGCCATAGACAAGGACATTCGAGAGCTACAAATGGGACTTGAAAATCTTAAAGATTCCTTGGTTTCTCTCTCTGAGGTAGTCCTCCAAAATAGAAGAGGACTTGACCTTCTTTTTATCAGAGAAGGGGGATTATGTGTGGCCTTAAAAGAAGAATGCTGCTTTTATGTAGACAAAACAGGATTAGTTCAAGATAGTATAAACAAGGTTAAGTCCAGTTTGGAAGAAAGAAAGAAACAAAGAGAACAACAAGAGGCCTGGTATAAAAATTGGTTCTCCTTCCCACCTTGGGTTACGACCCTGCTTCCAAGCCTTCTTGGGCCCCTTCTGGGTCTGCTATTTTTACTTTCATTTGGCCCATGGGCCTTTAAAAGATTAACCACCTTAATAAAATCTCGTGTTGATACATCTCTGAGACTTCCACAGGTACATTATCATCGGATTGATAAGCAAGCTATAGAAGAACTCTATGATGATGCTGCCCTGGGTTCCCTCAGATCCCCGGGCCCTCCACCCCTCCCTGATGATGATGCCGCTCCTGAATCCCCCAGACCCTCAGGCCTCCAGTTCTCCACCTTAGTTGGGGACTGGCTCTCTCCGTGGGGCCATCGGCCCTGCCATCCACAAAGCCCTTAGTGTTCTGCCTCAGGGTATGAACTGGCCCCCAAAGACAAAATCGCCCCCATGACTTCGATCAACAATTTCTGTGGTGGTCTGCGACCTTTAAAGGCCAGATCGGCAACCCTCCCCACCATGGCCTTTGTGCCTTTCGGGTTTGGCTCTTGCACCTCCTGGGCTTAGACCCATTGCACGGAGATGAGCAATCCCCCAAAACGGTGGTTGAGGCCAGCAGCCCTTGATCCCCAGGACGGGATTATGCCGGTGCCACATGTATGTAACTTCCTTGAGAGGCCAGGGGCCGCAGTTTGGATGTGCCCACCTCAGCCGACAGAGGTGCCAAATGGCGGGTGCCACCCTGTCCTCTCTAAAACATCGTCCTTTGAGTGTCGGCTGTGGACTCACACTGGCTAGCCTAAGACAGGGATTTGGGACAAAGTTGCCTTCTTTTTTTATTAGTCACAGAAGGGGGACCTGTCGGGGGCCAGGATAATATACCCTGGAGCTAAAAACACTTGGCTTGGGCAGCCTGCCCTCTGCCACCGTGAGAACAACAGTCACTTCCTTGTTCTCAGCATGCTTGCACAGAGCTTGCGGCTTACCACGGAGAGTTCAGCTTGTCCCCTTACCCAACCCCTTACTTAAGCCCCTTACCTAAATGTTCCCTTACCCAATTTTAGTTTTCCATTCCCCACCCAGCCACAAGTTCCCTAACCCAGTTCCCTAAACCCTTGCCACATGTCCCAAGAGGCCACCCCCTCCTCCTCCTCCCTACAGTATATCTTGTAGCAGCTTCCGCAATAAAGTGAGACCTTGACAAGATTCAGCTGGCTCTGTGCCTTCTTTCTCCTTGCTTGGTCTCGCGCCTCTTTCTCCCCTGTTTCTTCCCATTAGGCTCGCCTTCTCCGAGGGACCCTGCGACAAAAGCTGCCCCGCGGGACAGGGCACTACCTTAGAGTAAAAGACTAGAAAACAATTTTTCAAGCAAATGGTACTAAGAAACAAGCTGGAGTAGACATTCTAATATCGAATAAAATCGACTTTCAACTTAAAAGCTATCAAAAAGGATCAGAAAGGACATTTCATACTCGTCAAATGAAAAGTCAACCAAGAAGACCTCTAAATTCTGAACATCTATGTGGCAAATGCAAGAACATCCACTTTGATTAAAAAAAAAACACCTTACTAAATCTCAAAGCACACATTGCACCTCACACAATAATAGTGGGAGGCTTCAACACTCCACTCTAATCAATGGACAGATTATGGAAACAGAAACTAATCAGGCATACAGTGAAACTAACAGAAGTTATGAATCAAATGGATTTAACAGATATCTATAGAACATTTCATCCAAAAACAAAAGAATATACCTTTTTCTTACCATCTCATAATACCTCCTCCAAAGTAGACCATAT